TCCCTTTGCTTCTGGGGTTCCTGCTTCTAAACTCTAAAAATTTTTCTTTTAAAGGTTTACCAGTTTCAACCTTTTTTTTTTTTTTTTGGCAGTCCTGATCTCTTTGAGCCAGATGGGGTTTCCTCTTTAATGACCACAAAACAAGCCTCAAGACTCCATTACTCTCCCAGCTGAACACAGACACCACTGGAACCTCAGCTGGGCTGAGAGCCATGACTCCTGAAGCTGAGGGACTGTGGCCTGCCATCAGATGTTAGTGCGTAGGGGTACTACCTGCCTGGGGGACTTGGGCTTCCCCCATGTTTGCCCTCAGCTCCAAAGTCAGTAAAACAAATTCAGGAGGAAGACGGCAGAGAGCTCCAGGCACTCCTCCTGACTGTGTGTTTATGAATGGGACACAAGGTCCACACAGCTGATACTTCCAGATGTGGGACCCAAACACAGGCAGCCCCTGACACTTTACCAGGCTGGATTAAACTCCAGTAGCACCAAGGCCAGGCAAGGTCAGCAGAACATAATCAGGGGCTACACTGCAGAGCCACAGGGCTTTGGTCAGGTGGGGCTCAGCACAGGGATCTAGCTCCAGTTTTTCCAGTCTCTAGTTCCCCAGTCGCATATGCATATGAAGCCACAAGGGGAGAAAAAGCCACGTATAAACAGGATATTGGCAAGGGTAAGAAGCCCATTTCAGTTACCTGATGGGCAGCACTATGGACAGTGAACAGATCAGTGTTGCCAGGGATCTGGAGAAAGGAGGGAGAGATGAACAGATGGATAAAGGGGTATTTTTAGAAAACTGAATTATTACTCTGTATGATTCTGTAATGAGAGACACAGGACACTTTACCTTTGTCAAACTCCAGAAAACATGTCAAAGAGTAAGTCCTAAGGCAAACTATGGACTTTAGTTAATAATGTGCCAATCACTGGCTCATCAGTTGTAAAAATGAAGCATACCAACAGAAGATGTTCATTGCAGAGGAAAGTGATAGGAGTTAGGCAACAGGGCTAACATGGTATGGGAATTTTTTTTTTTTGAATTTTTGAAATTTTTAATAAACCTAAAACTGCTTAAAAAACATGAAGTTACTGATTTCAAACAATAATCTTTTTTAATGGGGAAAAAATGGGCAGAGAGGCCTGGAGCCAGTCCTTTAGCCCCCACCCCCACCCCAACATGCCTTCCTTCTGGGTTGAAGGAGCTGATAGTGCATTTTCTCAGGCAGGTCCCCACTTCTGCCCAACACAGGACTTCCTGGGACATTCATCCCTGCTTTTATGCTTCCTCTACTTCTAAATCTAAAACCAAGCTAGAACTGATAGAGATACAATTTGAAGTCAGATTCTGACCTTCTTAAGTGGACACCCTAACTGTCTATTACGTCCAACAACTGAGATCATCCGTCACTTGCCTGCCTAGCCTGGGGCCTAGCCCATGAGGTCCTCTTGAATATGGGAGCTGAACTGTCCTCAAATTCACCCCACATCCATTAGATAGCTTTCCTACTCAGCTCAGGTGAAGAGGACAGCAGCAACACAGATGGCCCAGGCACACTTAGGAAACCCCAGAACAACCACACTATAAATCACGAGATAAGAGAGGACAGGGCTTCTGTGCACGTCCCAGGCAGGCAGTACAGTGCTGGGTACAAAGCACATGCTCAATAAACTCCTCTGAAGTGTGTGTGGAAGAATGGGTAGAGAGGATATTGATTTCTGTGTTCCTCTTATAGCTGGTTCAACCATGAATATTCTTGAACTCTGTCTCCTGAAGAAACAGGCTGTTTTGTTGTGGCCTAGTACATAATTTCTGAGCTTTTCCATAACGGGCACACCTACTTGATCACTATAACTCTATTGCACCTCCCCTCTGTAGTACTTTATACACATATGCCCCAGAATGAACTTCCTATATAAGTCCAGGAATTATTATAGTTGCCACTCAATACCTGTGGGGGTTGGTTCCAGGATCTACCTAAGGGTGCCAAAATCCTTAGATACTCAAGTCTATCATATAAAATGGTATGTTTCCTGTTTGCAAGTAATTCAATCATCCCACATACATACAGATCATGTCTAGATTACTTATAATAACACAATGTGATCTGTAAATAGTTGATATATTGGGTTGTGTTGGGCATAATGGCAAGAAAAAGTTTGTACATGTTTAGTACAGAGGTGATTTTAAAAAATATTGCAGCTGGGAATGGTGGCGCACGCCTGTAGTTCCAGCACTTGGGAGGCAGAGGCAGGCGGCTCTCTGAGTTCAAGGCCAGCCTGGTCTACATAGCGAGGTCCAGGTCAGCTAGGGCTACAGGGAGACCCTGTCTCAAAAAGACCAAAAAAAAAAAAAAAATTGCAATCTGATATTGATTGAATTCACAGGCATGGACCTAGTAGATACCAAGGGCTGAGCATATTTCATTGTTGGAAACTCTTATTACATGCCTGCTGAGATTCAGGTGAGTCCTATAGATGGGGTGTTGGGGGGAAGGTACCAGACTCTATTCTAGGCACAGAAGGACTCTGATGAACAAAAAAAAATCTTGATCTCATGGACCTTTCTAGTTGCAGAGGGAAAGTATGCAGTGTACAAAAGAACAAATAAGTAGTTGAGGTGACAGCACTCAGCACTGAGGAAATATGAATTCATTTGATGGTGGGAGTGCCATTTTTAAAAGGGTACCAGGCTAAGCCGAGAGGGGAGAAAGGACTCCAAAGATCTGTGGGAAAGAACTTTCTCGGCTGAGGGCCAAGCCAGTGCAAAGCTCCTGAGGAGGGGAGCTCCTTGTTAGTTTGAGGAGCCATGGAAGCCTGGGAGCTGTGGAGGTGGACAAGCCAGCCAGGTGAGGTAAGAGCAGGAAGAGGTGGAGCCAACAGCACTGTAAGGTCTTTGGATTTTTCTTTGAATGAACCAGGAGCCACAGAGAGGTTTGAGCAGAGACATGATCTCCACAGTGCAGTCAAAAGAACTGCTGGAAGACTAACTAGGCTGGTAAGAAGTCCAGAATTCTGGGCTGGAGAGATGGCTCAGTGGTTAAGAGCGCTGACTGCACTCACAGAGGACCGGGGTTTGATTCCTAGCACCCACATAGCAACCATCTGTAACTCCAGTTCCACAGGAATTCTACTCCTTTTTCTGACCACCCTGGGCATTGAAGGACACGGGTGCACTTACACACATGCAGACAATACACATAAATAAAATAAAATAAAAAATAAAATAAAAATAAAATAAAAAGAAGTCAAGAATTCTATAAACATTTGAGGGTAAAATTTGTCAATTTAAAGTAGAATTTCAGCCGGGTGTGGTGGCGCATGCCTTTAATCCCAGCACTTGGGAGGCAGAGGCAGGCGGATCGCGGATCGTTCAAGGCCAGCCTGGTCTACATAGTGAGTTCCAGGGCAGCTGGGGCTACAGGAAGACCCTGCTTAAAGAAGACCAAAAGAAAAGAAAAAGAAAGAAAAAAAAAAAAGTAGAATTTCAGACTGATGATGTGGTTTAATGGTGGAGTGCTTGACTAGATAGATGTGTGAGGCTCTGCATTCCATTCCCAGCTCCGCAAATAGATAAATAACAAAAATGAGTGGAGTGTGAGATAAAGAAGTCAAAGATGCCAGGATTTCCGGCATAATGAGCAGTCTGGGACATACCTTATTGGAGAAGCAGCAGAGAAGGGTGTTGGGGGGACCAGGATTGGCCCTACCATGTGCTCTTCTTTCCCTACACCCTCATTCCTTCCTCTCAGGAGACCCGGAACCAGTGAAGGCTCCATCATCAGGGTCTCTCAATAGGATGTCCACTGTCTAGCCC